GGTGGATCGGTATGTACCAGAACAACACCCTCATATTGTATGGCGTTTCGTAGATTGTTTGACGCCACTAAAATTGATAGTTTTGGAAGAGTATGTAACAGCCTTTCCAACACAAATATTCATACAGATTTAGAATTTCCAAGACAGCAACGTCCCTTGTACTTAATGGCACTGGAAAACAAAAGGATATGGATCAACTTGGGGCATCAGGCCCATCTAGAAAGAGATCTGCAATTAGTAATACCCCTAGTCCTGGTAAGTAAAGTGCGTCTTCTGACAGGTGAGAATCTACGAACACAAAAGTCAGTGGCAAAAGTCGTCTACGTGCTCCAGGCAATAGTACACAACATAATCAAGTAAAATCTTCTTAGAGAAAGCGACACAGGTTGCTTCCACATCATATTAATTCAACTGTCACATACCTCAAGCAGCTGGAGAATGAAATTGGCATTCATACTATTTCCATATGAGGAAAAACGGGTCAAATAGCCAGTCGCAGCACCTTTAAATTTCTGTGCGATCGGATTTTTGAAAGAGGCGCTGACAAATCACCAACCTCATACACTAGATGGCTTATGAAAGGTGTGCAGAGAGTAATGAAGTGATTTTGACATAACATCCTTACGTCGGAGCTATTTTATAATGAAATCCACCCTATATAGCTATTATAAAGATGAACGGACGTCAGATAGAGCATGACTGGACGAGACGACATGGACTTTAGCGACGTGGTTAGACTCCAAAATCGTTTTAATATAACGTACTCATCCTCTGTGTAGCGAATTAATGGTACTTAAAAAAACTCTTAATGAAATTTATACAAAAACTAGGGTGATATTGTAATAATCTTTAACTGCTAGCTGTGTTAGAAATACTATCACAAAAAATTAAAAACAATATTAAAAAGTAATGAATTAACTGGTAGAACTCGAAGGTTGTATTGACGAAAACGTGCAAAGTATAAGAGAATAAACATGTGCTATGACATAAAAACAGCAGAAAGGCTGAAAGCAAAAAAAAAATACTAACTATTCAATTTGTCGTCACATCAGAACCATAAAAAAACAAAAACATATGCCTGAAAGGCTGAAACTTCTCCGTAGTTCCATTAGATATAACAACAATAACTTTTTCAGGACGAGAACGTTTTTTTCTAAAACTGAAAGCCTCTATCCACACTTACCAGGTGTTTCCTGTTCGCTAGATTCACTCTCAGAAACCGAAAATTGAGAGTTGTACTGTTGTTGTTGATCTTGAGGTAATTCTAGCTGAAAGTCAGGATCATGATACAGGATGGAAACTGTCAAGAAAAAAAGTGTGAGTCAAAGGTGCCCAAAAGCTTTCTTAGAGTATCAACATGCTTGATCTCTGAATAACTGTATAACAACTTATTACACTATACTGAGATAACCGAGGACCCTTGAGTTGTTGAGTAAAAGCAATCAGTTGAATACTCGCCTAACATTACTTATTGATGCCAAAATTCAAGTAATGATTAGTTATAACTTCATAACGCAACAGACTGACTTGCTTATGACGTCATCTGAACGTCATCATATAGTTGTGATCCTGCTGCAGACAGGAACAAAATGTTTAACATTCCGATACTCATATCCATTATTCAATATCATATGAAGAATAGAGAAGTGTTATCGATAATATGAAATTAATAGACAGCTTCACTGTAAACAAACAATGTAACGTTGAAATCATATCAATTTTGGGCATGATTTCTGTGCTCACAGTGCTTTATTAAAATGGGTAGATGCCCAGCCCAACTTTGTTTTTCTTTCATTTTGTTTGTCTTCTGAAGGGCAACATCAAATTGTTGCCTTTATAACTTGACAAAAAAACATTAAATACCAAGTAGTGAATATACTTACTGCTTTATGTAAGTAAAAACTTCTTGTTTTGTGATTATTTATTTGTCAAGGAATAATTGCTTCTGTGTTTTAAAATTTCGCGCAAAGCTATATTAGATCTATTTGCGTATAGCCGTCCCTAATCTTGAAATGGTAGACTAGAGGAAAGGCAGTTAGTCAACACTACTCACCGCCAACCGATGTGCTACTGTAATCGAATAGTAGGATTCGACCATCACTCTTGTCGTCTGGTACCCAGAGGTAAATTTATGGACTTACCATGCTACAATCTGTGGTTCGAGTCCTCGCAGAGGAGAGAGTGCAAATTTGTAGATTTTTGTAGCCTTGCCCTAAGAAAATACCAATCGTCATTATATATCGCACTCACTGTCCCAAAATACGGAGCGCGTTTTTGTTTTGTTTTTGCAGTAAGGGAGCACGAACAACGGATCCACAGTTCAACAAGCTAGCCACTGGGCCACGCTAGACCCCCACTTGTTTAGTTAAACTGTCTCGGGTAATCTGACAACGGTTCTCCAAATTATTCAGAGGCTTGAATACTTGTCATAATGATACATATTGTGGATAAATAACAATGAACAGTCTTATAAGTTGGTATCTGGAGTCAAAGCAATAACGAATGATAAATAAATGGCCAAATGTGCTCGGAAGATGAAAATACAAGAATAATCTACACCCCCCTCACTTGTACTATAGACAAGGTGACTCATAATTCGCATAACGTTATCAGAGCATCGCGAAAACTAGACGGTTCCTTGAGGATGATAAAGGGAAAATGTCTATGACTGAGACACACTGTGGCACACAGTCTGGCCACCAGAGGGATATTCAGATATATAGAACAACAGGTATCGAAAACGTCAGAGCTTACAAGTGCTAATTTTTCTCTTTGTCAAACATGGACGTAAGAGCTACTGCTCCAGAGCACACTGAGCTAATGTTGCTGATATCAAAATGGATGTAACAGGTGTGCAAAAGTTAATTCTTCAGAGCACACTGTGCTAATATTTTTCTATGTCAAAAATGGAAGTAACAGTTGTGCAATAGTATCTGCTTCAGAGCACACTGTGCTAAAGCTGCTAACGCCAAAACAGACGTAACAAGTGTGCAACAGCTACTGTTTCAGAGCGCAGTGTGCTCATTTGTTTTGCTGTACATCAAAAACAGACGTAACAACCACTGCTTTAGAGCACAGGAACTAATTTTGCTGTATGTAAAAATCGACGTAACAGTGCAGCTTTTGCTAGCAAGCACCATGACAAAAGCACCTAGATTTGTGTAACGATCCTTTCAGACTGGAAGCGTAGCACTTTACGTTAAAGAACAACACTCTGGTGACGAAGCTATGCGTCACATAGTGTTTCTGTCATGGCCACTTTCCCTTGTATTATCATTATTTATGTACCCTACAGTTCTTATTATGTTCCGACAATGTTGCACGATTTTTGAATCACATTATACACAATTTGGATCTATTGACCCACATAGTTGAATAAACTTGTATGGAACGCTAATATTTTACCGCTAAAAATGTTTGTAAATGGAGCTGTTATTCTTAAATACGTCAAATGTATCTAGAAAATACTATTAGGTTGTCATGAAATTAATGTCGCTTTTTTTAGATGAAATGTCAGGGTCATTTCACGAGTGTGTTGCCTTGGGTTAGACCCAACAAGCGTCTTCAGAGCATCAATATTAATTCCAACATGTCGGCCCCTGCCATCACAGTTTTTAAGGCTAAAGCCACCTGAACAAAATCTGCAGAACCATCGTTGACACTTACGAACGTTCAAAACATTTCCATAAACATCTTTGATATTATTTGTGGCTAAAGAGGCGTTGTTTCCATTTTTGTATTTAATCAGCATTACATGCCGAATGTGTCTCGTCGTGTGCCATCACTATAAGGGATAACAGTATACTAAACTT